GGCACAAACATTCTCGTTCAGCCTTCCTCCTCGATTCTCATCCAAACGGGTGACCAAATTTCATGGTATTTTCGAATGAAACAAAAAGTAACACGTTTCGTTTTGTTTATTATAAAGTGAAAAGTAAAGAAGTGAATAATACAAGATGTCTGATTCCGCAGTTGCTGTATCCGCGTCCCCTGTGACTCCACAAACAGCCCCAGCTGAGAAGAAGGTGGCCACTAAAAAGCCTGCATCTGCATCCGCATCTAAGGCAAAGAAAACAGCGGCCCCTCCAACACACCCACCAACTCAGCAGATGGTGGATGCATCGATAAAAAATCTGAAGGAACGTGGAGGCTCATCCCTCTTGGCTATTAAAAAATATATCAGTGCCACTTACAAGTGCGATGCCCAGAAACTAGCTCCATTCATTAAGAAGTACCTGAAGAATTCAGTTGCGAGTGGAAAGTTGATCCAAACAAAAGGGAAGGGTGCATCTGGTTCATTTAAGCTGTCTGCATCGTCCAAAAAGGAGCCCAAGCCAAAGGCATCCTCCATAGAGAAGAAAACTAAGAAGGTAACTGCATCGGCAGCACCCAAAAAGAAGAGTATATCTGCCACCAAAAAAGTAAAGGGTACTGCTGATAAGAAGTTATCGAAGGCTGTGGTGGCCAAAAAGAGTACCGACAAAAAGAAAGCAGACAAAGCGAAGGCCAAAGATGCAAAGAAAGTGGGAACCATTAAAGCAAAGCCCACAACAGCAAAGGCGGCAAAGTCAAGCGCAGCAAAGCCAAAGACGCCGAAACCTAAAACTACAAGTGCTAAGCCTAAAAAGGTAGTCTCTGCAGCATCCCCGAAAAAAGCCGCTGCAAAGAAGCCAAAAGCAAAGGCTGCGTCCGCAACAAAGAAGTAATTTCACTTCGAAATTACTCGGCAGGGTATAAACGAATTTCAAAACAATGAAATTTGCAATTAATCAAAGTCCTTTTCAGGACTACTATTACATATTTCACAGAGAAAAAAAATACTTTCATAATCATATCTATAAGCCATTATAAAAGAAGAGGGCCAATTAGAAAAAAATTACTAAATTATATTCGAAGTTCGTTCTTTACTCTACGATAAAAACATAACATTTGTTTTTAATTTAATTCAAACTTGTTTTGTTATTCAAATCTTTTTATTTATTGTTGATAATGAATTTCAAAATAGTTTGTAGTTTATAAGAAGTTTATGTGATCAATGTTTTTGTATTCTGCTCATTTACTTTGTTATAAATATTCAACTAATTAATAAAATGATTAATTATAATTTTAATGAGTAAAGTGATTAATTATAATTTGTATATAACATATTTGCTTTGAGTTAAATAAACGTACATTGTTAAATCATTTAAATTACTTATTCCATCAATACATTTTTTAGCGATATTATTGAATTTACCTTCTCAAACTATCGTGGTTATCGAGTGGGACCAATATCGATATCCAGCTCTACATGGACTGCCATAAAAGCTGCAAACAGCTGTTAAATTTTCTGTGGTGGTAGGTAGATAGCTGCGCAGTTTGATCATTCTCGTTAAGATAAAAATACCAACTTCAACGTAACGCAAAATTGGACTTTGCGACGTTACGGAATAACGTATGTATATAAATTGAACTTTAGTAAATGACACTGACATCACATGTATTTTAGCGAATTTAATACTTTAACTTTTCTTAATAAGAAGAAAACTTTTAAAGTTTAAGCGAAAATAGAAATTTTTTATTTTAAAGTAGCCATATTTTTTTGATTCATAATTAAATTATAAACAGAACAATGTAAAAATTGCACACCAGAGTATCATCCGCTAAATGCTTAAGAAATCGTAAAAGTCCATTTTCGGAGATAAATTCAGGTGGAATTGATGTGATTGCGTTACTCTGCCGATTGCTGTACTCTCTAGCCCATAAGTTGTTAATTACAAAATATAGCTCATTCAAATATTTTAAAGAAATTATTTCATCAATTTAATAAAGCAAAACGAGAGAGCGTCAGCTCGGTGTCTGTAGTCTGTTCTAAATACGCATAATGGCAGTAAACGTATCAAAACATCACTAAACACGCAAAGGCAATTAAAATTGTTTTAAAACATGCAAACTCCTACAAGTAATACGCTCCTGCAACGGCGCACAGCGATCTGGGGTGTTGGGATAACCAACTTAAATAGCAGCCAAGAATGCCCATAGACTATATTGCAGGCTGCTCGACGGCGGTATACACTATGCTTACATGCACATGTGCTCGAGCAGTGGAAATACATATGTATGTATGTACGTCGGAAGAAGTTCTCCCCATTTGAGTAATGGAAAGTCAAGGCATTGACTGTCATGCAACATTTTGTGGTAGGGTGTCTTTCATTTATCCCTACACGAAATCTAATTCAATTAAGCAAAGTTAATAGCCTTTGCGCAACATACGTCACCGTCAATGCAGACCATTGTATGTAATTGATCTTTGCCCACTGATTGCTCTCCATGGCTGAGGCTGAGGCTGGAGCTCTGTGGTCACTATATGAGCGAGCGAGCAAGCGACCGAGCGAGGCTTTTCAAATCGAATCGTAAAGGATTATTCAGCAGGCGTGCTGAACAAGTCCACGAATGCTTCGAGTTGCTTGTTGCATATGATAAGGAAAGAAATATGTATGTCTGGATTGTGTTTGTTACAATTCCACACACACATAGACAAATGGAATTTAAGAATCGTATTTAAATAGCTCTGATTACCAATGCCCCTTCACTTGGGCAGAACAACATGCAAATAATAGACCAGGGGCTACGGACCGTCGTTCTTAAGTGGCCCAAATAGCGGCTATAAGTGTCAAGCAACAACTCAGTTTAGATAATTCGATGTTAAGAGAAATTAAACGACTAACATTATGTTAACATACATTTATCGATTAAGAAGACTACAACATAATGTTAATTGAAGTGTCACTGGGAAGTGTTTGAATAGCCTAGGTAGCATAGGTTGATTCAGGCTAATCAAGTGATATGTTGATAAGGTAATTTAGACAAATGTTTTAATCGTCACATTAATGGCTTGGCATATTTTAGAGAAAATGCGTTGCATTAGCATCGACACCTGCTCATCGGCGTTGGCAATCCGGTTATGGTCTTAACTTCGTTAGGCCATTAAAAAAATAAGCATGGCTTCATCATCGGCAGAAGACAGGTGAGCGTATAAAAGGGAACTAAGTACATAAATGGCTTCAGCAGTTGGCGTTGACTAATCGCAAGAACTATTATTTCTAATTAAGATAAAATTGAATTTATTAAATTATATTTTTTAGATTATATATGGTGTCTGATAAAGACTGTCTAAGAAGCTTAATATGCTCATATATATGTATGTATTTAAAAAAATCTGTATATATACATATGTGTGTATATTTGCACGTATTTATTATGTTAAAAATATTTTGTCATTTCGTACATATACATACATACATATGTACATAGATGTCAGGCTTGACTAGACGTGCAAATATTTGATACCATTCGCACTATTCAAGTACTTACATACATATGTACATACATATTGTATGTAGGTATGTCTATGTGCACATACACTCAGCTATACAGGTGTTTAATGACAATCATGTGGCTGTGATTTATGTAAATGTTGCAGCACAACTGCAATATCCAAATACTTGGCCATTTCAAGAAAAATGTGGCAAAGTATTAAATAGACTGGCAAAAAAAAAAAGAAAACAACAACTAAGCAAAGACAGACAGAAAAAAAACAGAAAACGGACTCGCAACTCGCTAAGCAACGCATAATGCAAGTAACCTGCCTTTCTGCAACTTCATTCATTTAATGCGGCAAAAAGTAGGAGCCCCAGTGCTTAGCTTAACTTTGCTCGCCAGCACTGCGAAGCAATAAAAGTAAAAGAAATAGCAGCAGCAACAACAAAAATAACAACAACGACAACAACAACAATAAGAGCAACAAAACACGCTAACCAATAAAACAATTGAGAAGCTGTAAAAACCACAACAAAGAAGAAGAGTTCCGAAAACAGGTTTTTAACACAACATAACTGAAACAAGTTGGAGCTGTTTATTGAATGTTAGCTTAACAGGCGACTGTTAACAGGCTGTTAACCGTTTAGAGTTCGCATTTCATTGGCTTGCCATATGCTGCACCTGCAGATCGCGATCAAATAAATACAAATATGTCAACACTCCACGCCATTTGAATAGGGCTGATGGAAATTCTTGTAGTCTGTGTAGGAATGTTAAAAGTATGAAATATGCTATGTTATAGAATAATAAATGACTTCAGACAATATGTATTATCTATTAAATATAATTCCATTAGAATTATTATTATTATTAATATTATAATTTTCATCAACTATTTCTAGGCACTCACCAACACCAACACACATGCATGAGCACATAGCTGTGTATAAATACTTATTTGTACATAATCCTTTTACTTGTATCACTAGCTGAACAACTACTAGCCAGAAAACCAGTTTCAGTTTACCACAAGCAAACCAGATTTCTTAACCGTTTCGAACCGAGCGCCCACTTGTTGCCGTGTTGCTGCCATGGTCGCCAAAGTCAGTTCCACGCCAGCTACCTGTGATTTCAGGTGTTATAATTGTCGTGCGCGCTTGGCACAAGCTATTTCATACGAATACTTCGCGCTACTCCCAGCCGCTCCACAAATATGTCTGCACAAAACGAACTGTAAAAAATCAAGTCTCTGCCAAACTGCCAAACAGCGACAGCTCTTGGAATTATTAATCAACGGAATTCCTTCTAAGTAGTGCCGTTTCATTTTCGACAGCAAATGAAGGCTTTCGTTCTAATGCTATGAAATGATGTTCGCAATTTTGTGAAATCAATTATAATTCAAGAAGTTACAACAAAGGTAACGAACGAATTGAGTTTTATATAACAATATTCTGTTAAGTTCCCATGTCGAAATCGTGTACATAAAATGTGAGTGAGTTGATGAAAGATGCTTGAATGGCCGTTTCATTTGCACTTTCTTTTTCGAAAAGCAAACAAACCTGCTAATGCAGGAAGCGAAAATACAAAATAAATCAAAAGTGAAATCTTTGTGAAATTAGCCAAAATAGTTAACACAAGAGATGACAACTAAAACGTTCTACATAAATAACAATAATAATAATATGTCGTACCACTAATATCATACCAACTAATAATAAGAGTATGCGTGTGCTTGATTCATTGCATTTCCGTCGGCTCTAATTGCAGGACGTCTTGGGTTACTTTGGCTGACCCCAATTGCGCTTGGGAAACGCAATATTATGCTGGGGTTGACTATTGGGGTCATGTGTGGAGAGCGTTTGCAAATAAACTGCTGCGGTAGCTGTTGTTGTGGCTGCTATCACTAGTACACTTAGAGTCAGACGGGAAGAGACACGATTGAGAGATAGAGAGAGAAGGAGAGGTAGATGGAGAGACATCCCAGACGACGTACAGCAATCAACTTGCCACACTACTTTTACTCCCTGTTGTTGTTGTTGTTGTATTATGTTGCACGTTTTGCGAATTTTTGAGCAGGTTAAGATGAATATTTTGGCCAACTCGTGTGGGTGTGTGTCTTTCTCCCTCTCTTTATCTGTGTGTGTGTGTGTGTGTACTCGGCCATTGCCATGTTGGCAAAAGTGAAACCTTAATCTATGCAAATCCTGAAAACAAATCAACTACCGGTGAACATAAATTTGTATGCATATAAATATATACATAAACATATACATATATCATTAATTTTAACGACTGTAAAAACTCTTGAACATGGTCAGCAAGGAAAACCATTCTCTCTATTGTTATTTGTTTTGATTGCTGGCTGTGCTCATCCCAAATTTCTCAAAAAAATCAAGTGAAAGTTATCCTTATCAAACCGGATTTGTGCCGGACCTAACATAACACACAACTGATCGGTAATAAATA